GGTGGTGATGCGGATGATAGTAGTGGTTATGATGCTACTACTGATGATGATGGTGATGGTGATGAGGGTAATGATAATGATGAGGATGATGATGAGGATGATGATGAGGATGAAGCGGGTGAATGTGGTCATGATGATGTTGTTGTTGATAATGATGATTAGGATGGGCATGTTGTTGATGATGATGATGATGGCGATGGTGATTACGATGATGAGAATGGCGTTGATTGTGTTGAGGATTTTGATTGTGGTGGTGATGATGATAATGATGACAACAATACTGCTGATGATGACGCTGCTGATGATGATACTGATGATGATGATGCTGATGCTGATGTGTATGGTGATAATTATGATTTTGATGGTGATGATGGCGATGATGAGAAATGCTGATGATGATGATGATGATGATGCTGATAGTGATGACGACGATGATCATACTTTTGATCTTGCTTCTGATGATGAGGCTGATGCTCATGATGCTGCTGATGCTGATGATGATGACAATGACGATGATGATGACGACGATGTTGATGATTGTGATGATGCTGATGATGCTGATGATGCTGATGCTGATGCTGCTGATGATGCTGTTGTTGGTAGTGGTGGTGATGGTGATGGGGGAGGAGGAGGAGAAAGAGGAAGAGCAGGAGGAGGCGGAGAAGGAGGAGGGCGAAAGGGGAAGGGAGGAAACGTGGGGAAGGGATGACGGATGGTGAGGATGATGAGGATGGATGCAATGACCAGAGGGCTTAGATCTAGGAGGGGGAGGTCGGTCGTTCTGCACATGGCAAGCTCACAAGTTCATCGAAGCCGCGCTCCCGACCGCGTCACACGTTCGAGGAAACCTTTCCCCCCGCGGCGATCGACCACCGCGCCTGGGCGCGGCGACACGTAACGTACTGTCAACCCGCATGGTAAGGATGGGCAACCTTCCCAAGGGTACCCTTGCATCCTTGCCCCTTCGGCCCATCTTTGGCCGTTTTCGCTGGCCGCGCCCCGCTCGCAGAGTGTCGACATGGTCTTCCAAGGCCCTCGCATCCTTACCTCCTCCTCCTCCAGCTGCCGCCCCGGCCCAGGACCCGCGCCTGGCAGCACGCGGCCCCCCCCCTCCCATGGGCTGACGCGCCCATTTCTCGCGCGTAGCCCGGCCGCCCTGCTCCATGCCACAGTCTCGCGTTTTCTCTTACAACGTCTTGTCTATTACCCAAAGCGGCCGATGGGACGACATTATGCATCAATTCAGATCATGTTCATGCGGGGGGGTGCAGAGTACACAGCACAGGCATGACCTCCCCACACAACGATTCTGGCAGGGCCCGTTTGCAGTTCATTCGTTTGGGGCGTCTGGTCGGTCCCATGGATCAGCGGTTGTTGCCGAACGATTGGTTTTTCCTGATTCTGCTATCCGGCGAGTGGGCGGTGGGAGTGGGAAGTGTGCTGGGCGTCTGGGGCTTGTGCGTTACAAAACAAAACAATCCGATGTGGCCATCATCAGTGCCTACGCTCCGTGTGAGCCCCGGGGCAATGCCAGCCGCGCAGGGTGTTGTGAGTTCTGGAGACACTTATCTCACATGGTCGACACGTTGCCGGCCCGATGCGTGCCAGTGCCCGCGATCGACGCCAACGGCCACGTGGGCATGTGTGCCGCAGAGATCCCATGTGCCGAGGAGGTCAAAGATCTCATCGGGTTGTGCAACTCAGAGGTGCAGAACTTCAACGGGTCACAGTTCGAGCAGTTTTTTGTGTCGTCATAATCTGGCGACATGCGACTCGTTCTGGAATTGTGGCCCCGCGTTCCATAGCCATCAGCAGCGGCAGCGCTTTACGCGTCCAGATTACATCGCCGTGCCAGCTTCCCTCAAATATGCCGTTTCGAAATGTGAAGTCCGGCATCGGGTTGGCGACGCCCTCCAAATCATCAACTGCCGGCGGCGACGTGACCATCGCCCCTTCGTGGTTACGTGCCGTGTGGGTTTGCATTATAGTGGCAGTGCGTCGCCCCGGCTTTTCTCCCACGAGGTTGTCGCTCAGTGTGCGATCGGGGGGTGCAAGTGGGATGAATTCGTTCACGCAGTACATCACATTATTCATCACGGCCCTGCTGCAGCCGACCCTGCTGCTGGCCACATCATCTATTCCTCCTTCCACGAGTGTGTATTGTCTGCTGCGCGCACATTTATCTGCAGATCCTAGATCTCGATTTGCGCCGAGATCCGAAGGGCAGACCCAGGCTGCTGAGAATTTGGTTCGTCTTCGTCGTGAGCTTCGAAACGTCCCACCCCCCAAGCCCGCTGGACATTCATCCATTCGTGTTCTATGTTGTATGCTACATCCTCGTGTTGTTGTTCAAACCGGTGTTTGTTATGCGTCTACTGTCGCGTCGCTGATCGTGCCCTTCAGAAGTGCACGGAACGAAACATGCGCGCGTTCAAACATGTGTGGCTTAGTGAGCTACATGATGCTTGTGAACGTCGGGGTTTTGCAACTACCTGGAGAGTTTCACGCCTCGTCGCCGGGACCAGATTCGGCCCGAAACGTCGACCTCTGCCTACCCTTGAAGTAAGTACGACTCTGCTACTTGGGAGGAGAGGTTGTCGTCGTCCGGCTGTCGTGGGGGATGTTTTTCGGAAGTCGGCGACAGCACCGCCGAACCCGAGTGCGAACGTCTTTCGCGCCACCCTGATCACGCCGCAGGGGCCAGAACGACCGGCGTGGAAATGTCGCCATGTTTCCTTCCGGTGCGGAGCACTTGTGTGGTCGTTTCCTGCTGGATTGTGGCGTGCATTGTTTTGGTCGCATTACGTCCCTAAGCGTCCTCAGCGTCGTGGCATCGGATATTCCTGGCTTGTTTACCAGGACGACCCAGTCAGAGAGTCCCTCAATGCGTTGTTCACTGCTGTGCGAACTTCCCGTCAAGTTTCTCTGCCATCCCGAAGTTGGCGGGTCTCCTTGACGAAGGGCTCCAGCGACGTCATTGTCTGGATTGTCGGGGTAAGCTTTATGTTCGCATAGCGTGGGCTCGCACGAAAGTGAACGCGGACAGATTGTATTCGTATTGGTACACACATGGGCGCAGGCGTGAACATGCTGTTCTACAAATCAACACGTTGCACACTCGTCTGTCTGGCGCACGTATTTCGCACGCAGTGTTTTTTTCTGATGCACGTAATGCTTTCGCGTGTCCGTCGCACGACGTTATACAAACTGCCCTGATCCAAGGTTTACCCAGAACGCGATATTGGCATATCGCGTCAACGCTTGCGTGGTGCAACGTTTCGCCTGGAGGCTAAGGATGGCGTCGTGTACGGTCGTATCGGTAGTGGCATTTTTCCTGGGGACGCTATTGCGGGCGAGTGGCTTCTGTTACCGTATAACGAGTGCGTGGATACGTTTCAGTTTTCCACCCTTCCCATATGTGTTTCGGCGAAGTGGTTTTCTCGTGCCATTACGGATGCACCGGCTTCAGTCGCTAGGAGCGTTTTTCTACAGTCGTGCCCCGCTCGACATGTCGATCGCCACGTACGCCGACGACGTCTTCAAAATCCGTCGTTTCACTTCATTCGACACGTCACGTGCACAGGTTCGGTCTACGTCGGCAGCACCTTCGGTGGCACTCTCTGAAGCTGACGTCGTCCAAAATTTCGACAAACACGATTGTTTTGTTGTTTTCTGTGGTCGCGGAGCTGACGCTGCTACTCAAGCTACGTGCGGTCCGTGTGTTCCTGTTCCCGGGAGGCCGATGTTGTCTGCCAGGTATTTGGATCCCCGTCATTACCGGTCAGGGTCCCGTAACACTGATATCAAGCATCGCAAGTAGGCTGCGATCAAAGCTCCCCATGGTTTGGGACGTTACTTTTGGGTGGAGTTCGGCCCTTACGCGCTGGAAGGGTATGGTTTCCAAGCCGCAGGTCGAATCTAGTTTATTGTCTGGCCCCACAGCTTTGCCGCTACGAGACGAGCGTGCCGACGAGCTTGACGCATGTCAGGCCACAATTGCACGGAAATATGTTCAAGGTCCTGGGGATGTTTTCGATGGTGATATCCACCGAACGCTCCCGAACACTGTTGATTTGAAGGTGTTGTCCACGAGCCCGGTGTCTATACAGTTACTATTCAGTGTACTCGCGTGTGGCAGGCCGCTGTTCGGCACCCGAAACGACACATGCTGGCCATAGCCTCGTGTTCGGCGCTGCGTCCTGGGTTCCCGAGTGGCCGTTTGATGCGGTTGGTGCCCGGATCTTGGGAAAACTGCTCAAGCATCTGTACCATCAACAATTTTACGCTGATCTTGAAGCCGTTGCAGCTGTCACCGAGTTCGACACGGACGTGGGCGGGGTGCTCCAGTGCCCGTCCCTCCTGTTCACTGACGCAGACATTCGCCAGAGTTTCCTCGCGGTGGATCCGAAAACGATACAATCTGCTGTGGACACGGCGTGCATCCCGCCCCCAGAAACAGCCCCGAGAGCCCTTGAGCGACTGCTTGAGGAGGAACACCGGCTCTGGTCTGTACTATTCTTCGACCGGGTGGTATTGAGTGTGGCGAAAGAGTCCTCACCCGGCGCGCGTGCTTATTACACCAATGTAACTCGGGCTTGCCTGGCCACGGGCAGAAACGGCTGGCGTGTTCTCTTGTATTTTTCAGTCTCTGTATCTTGTGAGGTAAATTCTACGCCAGCCGGCGGTCTGCCGAAAAGCGTTTGGAATTGCCTGTCAGTAACAACGGCGTGTGTTCTACGAGATTGAGTGCTACTGGCCCGGATCACTTCCTCCCTCCGCCGTACAAGTGCGTGTTGTGCTCCCTGGAATTCCCGAATGCCGAAGAGGCCCGCGCGCATTGTCTCTTCCACCTTCCTGCTGATATCGCACAGCGCGCGCACGGTGGCATCGTGGAGATATGAGTGGTGTGTAGCGTATCGGTTAAAGTGTTCTGTTCCCTATCAACAAGCGCATCGGTCGATCGCACCATGACCGTGGTGACGGGCAGCGGGACTTGGAAGGCCATGTTCGGACATGCCGAATCCGGCGACACGACTGCGAAGGCCGACCTCGTTCTCAGGTTGAGTGTCATCAACGCCCAGCTGATGAGGATGGTCTTTGCCATCGTCACCATGAGCTTTGCGATTCCTGTCTCTGGCGAGGCCTACCAGGTGCTCGAGGCTTTCAAGGCCAGCTACATTGCGAGGGCGAAGGGCAAGAAGGGCCACGGCAGAGCCCCCCCCTGGTGTGTACAATGTCATTGCATTGTTGCTGCTCACCAATCACACGACGTCTCCTCAGCAGAAGGAGAACATCGACGCATTCATCAGTGGCCACGGCGTGGAGACCAAGCGCGCATGGCGGGACATCCATGCGTGCCGGACCGAGGAAATGTTCGATTCGTCCATGAAGCGGCTGTATGTCCAGGCGCCTGCCCAGATGCTCGAGATCGTAGTTGATTTTCTTGTTGACAAGTTCAGCGCCGTGGAGCACGCTGGCCAGCGGCCGGCTGGGTATCTCGAGTCACAGGGCCAGAAATAGTTGAATCCGCAGTGAGTGAGTGAGCGCCTTATTATTCCACGTGGTCACGCATGTGTGTTCTTGTTCCTGCTCCTTTCCCTTCCCCGCCCCTCCCGCTCCCTTTCCCTACCCCCCCTTTCCCCCTTCCGAAATAAGAGCACAGTGCCCTGTCAGTCGGTGCGATCGCCGTCAATTCTATATGTTCATTTTCTTGTGTCGGCGCGACGCTGGCAGTTCCATATGTGATATTTCATTCAGATTGTGGCATTGAGGGCGGTGCTCTTTGGCGTTTGGGGTCGTGCGCCCTCGTCCCGAACCTTGCTGGGAGCAGCCTCGCTGCTGGCCCCTCGCTTCCCGTCCGGGGGGGTTTTCGACTCGTGCGACGATTCCGGTTGGCTGCGAGGCTGCTGGGGACGATCCGCGAAATGGCGATCATACGAGTCGCATCCCCCAAGTTGGCTGTTCATCTGCATTTTTGTTGTGAGGAGCCGCTCAGCAATTTGTTACCTTACCTCCTCCTCCTCCTCCTCCCCCATCGTGCGTCCATATTATACGGGTTGACTGTGCCCCCTTCCCGATCCCCCCACGACGACGCCGCGAGGCCTTGCCCAGCCTCCCGCCTCCGAACGGAGTGGCGCGCCATCTGCTCGCACGGCAGAGCGCGCCAGCCCCGGCCGCCGCGGCGGCACGCCAATCACAAGTGTCCCCCCGTGGTCCTCCGAACGATCGGGCCCGACGAAGAGGCCACGACCGCAGCGGCCCAGCCGGCGGGAGGGCCTTGGAAAGTTTATCTGGAGGGTTTAGGCGACCCGTCGTCGTTCTCCTCGTCCTCCTCCTCCTCCTCCTCCTCGTCCTCCTCCTCCTCTACTCCTCCTCCATCCTGCCTCCCCTCCCTCTCCTCCTGCCTCCTCCTCCTCCTCCCATTTCCTCTCCACCTCCCTCTCCCTCCTCCTCTTCTTCTCCTCCTCCACCTCCTCTCGTCCCTCCTCCTCCTCCGATCCTCCTCCTCCTCCTACTTCTCCTCCCTTTCCTTCCATCCCTTCTTCCTCCTCCATCTTCCTCCTCCTCCTCCTCTCCTCCTTTTCCTCATCCTCCGCGTTCTCAACTCCTAACCTCCTCCCCTTCTCTCACCCTCCTCTGCATTTACTCCCTCCACTCCTTCCTCAACCTCGTCCTCCTCTCCTCCTCTCACCTCTTCATCCTCCTACTTCTCATTCTCCTCCTCATCTCATTCTCCTCCTCTCCTTCCTCCTCCTCCTCTCCCTCCTCCCCTCCTCCTCATTCTTCCTCCTCCTCCTCCTCCCTCCTCCCCCTCCTCCTCCATCTCCTCCTCCCCTTCCCCCTCCTCCGCCTCGTCCTCCTCCCCATTCTCAGGTCGCCCACGGCACCGGGGGGGGGAACCTGTGCAGAGGGCCCTCGTGGCCCCGAGGCCACGCCTTTTTCTAACGTCGGCGGCGTGGCCTTCCCCGGAGCGCCGAGCCTCGGACCCGAAGGCTCCCCGCATGCCGCCCAGCAGCGGGCGGGGCCGTGGGCTGTGCGTCTCTCGAGCAAGAGAAAGCGGCACCAACACACAAAGTTTCGGAGTTCCGCGCGGGTCTATTGGGTCGGCGTTGGGGCCCCCCTGGCGGCGCTTCTGGCGCGCTCCGTGCGCCAGGGAGCGGGTTCAGTGCAGATCAGAGAAAGTCTCGTGGACCTCCGATAGTTTATGCGTCTACCGTTTCCGGCCCCTCTAGGCCTGCGATGGGGCGCGCGAGCGGCGCGGAGAGACGGAGCATAGCGCACCTTGCCAGCCCAGCGCACGCCCCCACCCCTGAGATTGGAGTCGCCCTGCACCGTCGCCGCGGCCGTCGACGCGTCGCGCAGTGCGGCGGGGCGGCCGGCTGACGGCGACGTCCGCGGCGGCGTCGGCGGCCGGAGCGCGGCGCCGCCGAGGAGTTCCTGCTCCGGCGCGGCGGCGGGAAGCCTGGGGCGCTCAGGAGCCGCCGCGGTCCCGTCGCCGTCGCTGTCGCCCGCCGTCGTCGCGGCCGTCGTTCGCCGTCGTCGTCGTCGTCGTCGTCCTCGCGGGGGTCGGCCACGCAAGCGTCCCATCTAGCCTCGGCGTCTGCGTCAACGCGTCAACGTCGTCGTCGTCGTCCTCGTCGTCGTCGTCGTCCTCGTCCTCGTCGTCGTTATCGCCCTCGTCTTCGTGGAAGTCGGCCGCGTCAGCGACAAGTCTAGCGTCAGAGTCTGTGTCGACGACGTCGTCGCCGTCGCCGACGTCAACGCCAACGGCAACGGCAACGGCAGCGTCGTCGGCAGCGTCGCGGTCCATCCACAACCGCCCCTCCCCCTCCTCCTCGCACCCCCCCTCTCTTCTGCCCTCCCTCCCTCCCTCCTCTTCCACCTCCCCCTCTCACTCCTCCTCCCCTTCCTCGTTTTTCCTTTTTGATCCCTTTCCTTTTTGAAACAACTCTTCCGTCTCGCACCCCCAGATTTGTCGGTAGGGCGGGCCGGGCGTTTCGCTTCTCATCATTTCTGATTCAATCTTGACCGTCGCAACAGTTTCACGGATGAAGGGTGGGTCGGTTTAAACATGCGATTCTCGTTTCGGGGCCGCGCACATTCGTTTCAGAAGTGTGCCACGTTTGCGATGATGGGGGGCGGTTCGTTTACAAATTGGGGGGTTCGCATGAGCGTCGTGCATATTCGTCTTAAACGCTTGCGAAAGTTTCAAGGATTGATCGGTTCCTTATCGACCTGTAGACCGCCTTAGAAGTTTGCAGCAGTTTCAAGGATGGAGTTGTTCTTTTTGAAGCTCTGGCTCTCGCCTCAGCGCCGCGCACACTGGGAGTTGCGCGCTCTGGCACGGTTTTTGATGTTCAGGACGCGGCGCAATAGTCTCGTCGAATCGCGGTGCTGAAGTCCCAAGAATGATGTTACGGCACGGCTTAGGGTTTTCTGAACGCAGCAGTCACATTGATCCGCGGAGTTCCCAGGAATTGCGTTTTTTGGTAGGACTTGGTTCTCAGACGGTTGTCTTTCAATGGGCCATTACTCGCAAGGGAAATAATATCGTGCAGGGACCTTGGGACATGGAATTTGGTGGGGGGGGGTATTGCAACATCGTTGATGCGCCTTGGTTTTGTACTGGGCCTCCTCATCCTGCCTCCTCATATTCTCGCCCTCCCTCATTATCCTCCTGTCTCCTTCCCGTACCTCCTCCTCATCCTTCATCTTCCTCCCTCCTCCTCCTGTTCCTTCTTTTCCTCCTCTCTCCCTCCTTGCTCCTCCTCCTCCTCCCCCCTATCTCCTCCGTCCTCCTCCTCCCCCTCTTCCTCCCTCAGACCTACCGATGCTGGCTACGGTGTTCGCAGCCATCCCCCCCCCCAGGGGCGTCGTTTACCCCTTTGGGGGGGGGATCTACCCCTTTTGGGGGGGTGATCAAACTAGGCGATCTGTTTCGAGAAAAAGAACGGCGAACGACAGACCCCTCCAGGGAGCGGGAGCGGAGCGGTACCCTGGGGGAGAGGAGGAGGAGGAGGAAACATTTCGAAGGCGGGAGGCATATTTCTCAGGCGATCGCAAACATGGATTAAGGGGGCGTGGATTTGCGACGGGTCCCGCTTCCATGGGAAACCGCGGATTTCTTCCGCCGAACGAGGCGGCACCGGCCGCATTTTGGGGCGGGCACCTCCCCCGATCCGTGGATTCGGCGCCCGCGCGCCAAATCCGTGGATTGCCAATCCATGTCTGCGCGCCCCCGATACTTCGAGGGGATGGGAGGCAGAGTCGGGCATGGGAAGGGCAGCAGCTTCACGCGTGGTCGTGGCGGCGCGGGTGCAGCAGGCGTGGCCGGGGCCGCGCTCGCCAGGGCAGGAGGGCGCAGGGCCCTCTCGCCGCAGCCGTGGGGCCCCACGGCGGGGCGGCCCCCGGGCTGCCGCCCAGGGGGCCGGCGCCCGCCGAGGCGGGCGATCGGCTGGCCGGGAGGCCCACCTGCCAGAGGGATGTGTGTTTCGCCTGCCGGCGACGGTGGCCCCGTGCGGTGAGCGATGCCCCCCCCCTCCTCCTCCACCTCCTCCTCCTCCACCTCCTCCTCCTCCTCCTCCTCCTCCTCCTCCTCCTCCTCTTCCCCCTCCTCCTCCACCTTCTTCTCCTCCACCTCCTCCTCCTCCTCCTCCTCTTCCGCCTCCTCCACCTCCTTCTTCTCCTCCACCTCCTCCGCTCCTCCTCCTTTCTCCTCCTCCTCCGCCGCTCCCTTCCTCCTTCTCCACCTCCTCCTCCTCCGCCTCCTCCCCTCCTTCTCCTCCTCCTCCTCCGCCCCCGCCTCCTACTTCCTTCACCACCTCGTCCTCCGCCCCCCGCCTCCGCCTCCGTTCTTCCTACCTCTCCTCCGCTCCTCCTCTCTCCTCCTCCTCCCTCCTCCTCCTCCTCCTCCTCCTCCTCCTCCCCCATAGTTGGCGGTTTCCGCGTGGGCCGAGAGGGTGAGTGCTGGGTCGGGTGGAGGCGGCGCTGCAGGGGCCACACTGGCCCGAGGGCGGGAAGGTGCAAGCGCCTCTCCCCTTTCGCCACAGGACATCCCCACGGGACGGCCCGCAGTCACCGCCAGGGCAGCCTCGCCCGCCGAGGCTGTAGAAGGCGACCAGTGGTCGGGACTGAGGGTCGGGCCGGGCGGTCAGGGGGGGATAGGGAAAGGGGGGGTTACGAAATTTGCTGCATGCAGCTGGTTTCGGCCTCGCCGAGGGGCCCATTCCTCGATACATAGCCGCCTCCGGCGCCGGGAGGCGCCGGGAAAGTCAGCTACGTGAGCTGATTCTCAAACCCCCCCTTTGCTATCCCACCCTTTCGCCCGACCCCGAACCCTGGGAGATCCGCCTGCCGAGGAGGCTTGCGCCTTCCCGAGGCGATGCCCTGCTATGGTGCAGGTCCTTCCCGCCAGCACAAAGATGTCCAAGCACCCCAAGGTGCGAATACGTGTGGCGGCGCTGGAGCTGAAGTGGACTTCTTTTAAATTTTTGTCATTATCCATTTGGTTTTGCTTTATTTTCTTATTTTTTTTTTTTTTTTGTTTATTTCCTTTGTGTCTCTTGCAGGTTGCGGAGCGATTAGGTTGGATGCTTCTCTTTTTTTATTGTATTGTTTTGAGGCAGGCAAGCTGCAAGAGGCAGGTGACAGCCTGGTTACCCCTCCCCTTTGGCGAAGGCTGTGGCTGCCTACGCTGCATATAATGTTGCACGCAACTAGTACTGTACCGGCCTGTTGGCTGCATTGTCTGCCTGATATTGTTGGCTGGGAGCCCTGGTGAGCGCCAGGGTAGCTGCGCTGATTCTCTACTGAAGCTCGCGGAATGCGTGCGGCGCTGGCCTTTGGATGCCGAAAAGGTGAAAAGGACTTGGCTGGGTGCCGCGGTAGAGTGGGGGCAAGCGTCCATGGGAGCTGGGTGAGAGGCTGCTGTCTGTCGCTGCGTTGGTGCCTGCTGCCGCCTTGGCCCTCGCCGAGGCAGCCCGCGGCCAGTTCCCGTCCTTTCTCCCACCGCAGTCCCGCCCGTTCCGCCGTCACACGAGTTGGAAGGTGTGGGTTATGTGGGCGAGCGGCGGGGGATGCGGGACACACGGGTGGAGGTGGAGCCGCCAGGCAGTGAAAGTTTGGTAATGGCTCTCTCAGGACCTCGTGGAAAGTTGACTCTTTGGGTTGTCGCGCCCGAGGCCCCAGCGTTGAGTTGGGGAGTAAGGTCACCGCCGAGGAGGTGCATGAGAGAGCTCAATCCAACGGTCTTGGAAATACATTTTTCCACACATGCGGCCGCATGCGGTTGGCGTTTAGCAGTGCGCCAGATGAGTCGGATGCGTGGGTGAGAAAAAGTAAGCGCCATTGCGGGTTTGGGAGGTTTGTCTGACCGTGGACCCGCTTGTTTTTTTTTTTTTTTTTTTGTTTTTGTTGTTTGTATATTATATTTTTTTGTGCGTTTGGTGTGGTTTTGTTTTTTTTTGTGTTGTCTGTTTTTAGGATTTTGTGTGGGGGCGGTATGTTAATGGTGATGGTGATTGTTTTTGTGTTGTTTGGTGGTAGGTGGGGGTGGTGGGGTATGGGTGGGTATTGCTGGGGCGGGTATTGTTTCGGGGTGTGATTTTGTTGTTTGTTTATTATGATGTTGTTATTATGCTTTGTATTTTTTTGTGTTTGTTTATTTTTGGTGATGTGACGTTTTTGTTTGAGGTGTTGCTTTTTTTTGGCTTTATTTTCTTTTTTTTTGCCGAGGAGGTGCATGAGAGAGCTCAATCCAACGGTCTTGGAAATACATTTTTCCACACATGCGGCCGCATGCGGTTGGCGTTTAGCAGTGCGCCAGATGAGTCGGATGCGTGGGTGAGAAAAAGTAAGCGCCATTGCGGGTTTGGGAGGTTTGTCTGACCGTGGACCCGCTGCAAAGCAGAGCCTTCTGTAGCTGTAGCCGCCGTAGCTGCAGGTGACTCGTGCCAAGAGAGCCACGGCGGGTTTCGAAGCCCAATGTTGCCGTGGACCCGCTGTCTTCGCGCCTCCTGCGGTTGCCGCTGTCGCCGTTTGCTGGTGCTGCCGTCGACTGGGGATCGGTGTGCTGATATGTCGAGTGCTGTAGGAGCAAGGAACCCACTGTCTTAACAGTGAGTTCGGCGGCTCGGGTCAAGGATAGCGCAGAGGTCGGGAGCCGGTGTTGGGGCAGCTGGTGGCGCGTGGCGCTGCCTGAGCAAAATTGGTTCGATCTGCGTTTGTTGCCCACAGACTTGGCGCGTGGAAAGGAGAGACATACTGACGGGCCTGTTTACGGCAGGTCCAATTTCCGCAGGAGGGTGCCATTCGCCTCTTGGCCGTTGGCTGTCGGGAGAAGGGGGGTGGGTGGTGCTTAGGGTAGAGCTCACACTGGGGTGGGCGCCGTGTTGACACCGATCACGCTGACAGTGTGCTCGCTGTGGTGCTGTCCGCTTGCAAAGCGGTTCCTTCAGGCGTAGGTCGTGTGCGGTGTTGGTTGTGCTGGTCTGGGCGTCAACTTCCGCTCTGTTGTAGTCCATGTTGCCGTAGCTAGGGTATTGCTCGTCCTCGTTCTGGTCATGGATGGCCGTAGCTTCAGAGCGCAGTACTGGGAATCCTGCGTCAAGGTAGACCTCGTTGCTGGGCGTATTGTGCGTGGTTGTCACGACTTGGCTCTCAGGTGGTCGGCGCGTGGCATGCCGTCCAGCGGGGCTGTCGGGAAAGTGCGTTTGCTGTGCCAACAGGAGTTGTCGCAGTTGCTGGTTGAACGTTTTCCTGTCTATCGTGGGGACGAGGCATCGCGTGGAAAGGTCGGCGGTCGGCAACGTGTCATGGCCTGTGTGAGTAGCAGACATATTCGTGGGTTCCTGTTGGTGGCTGTGGTTGTCTTGGTTCTATGCATGCATGTCTTCGTTAAAGCTCGTTGGGCCTGTCGCGGTGCCCTGAAGGCTTGGGCCGTTAATCGGCCCTGGTGTTTCGTTGTGTTCGTCGGGGTCTCTGTCCTGCGGTTGTGCTGAGTTGGCGACTGGGCTGTGCTCGTCACCCTGCTGCAAGAGTATGTCCATCCGGTAGTGCCTGTTCTTGGCAATGCCCTTCTAGAAGGAAGAGGTGGTGAATGGTGTTGGTGTCCCCGTCTGGTTGTATGTCAGGGTGCGCTTGAGCGTCGTGCCTGGTGCGGTGTGAGTAGATATCTAGGGTCCTCGGTCGTTGGGTCCGTGGATATGCTGCAAAGATGGTGGATGATGAAAAGCACTCGCACAGTCTGTTTGGTCGACATGTTGAAGGGCTGGACGCGGTACTAAGCTGGTTCTCCGAAGCTCTTGCTTAAGGCGTCGTGGAAGTAGTGCATGACTGGGTCGCGGCGGAAACGCGATGTGGGTCCGATTGCCAGTCTTTCAGCTTCCTTGGGTTGTGCATGTTCTCGATACAGTCCTTGATGATATTGTGAGCGTGTACCTTGATGAGCGAAGTGTTCCGGTCGTGATGGATGTTGTTGATGGTGTCGTCGAGCTTATTGATCGTGTCGTGCTGGAGATCGGTCGTCGTGGACCAATCGTATGCAGTGGCTCTCGAAGGGCGTCTGAGCTCCCTCGCTTATGGTAGGCATGCTTGCGGTGGCCGCGGGCACAGTGGCCTTCTTTGGTGGGGTTGGTTTGAAGGGAATGTGAGCATTGCCCTCGCGTGTGGGAGGAGTAGGTTTTTGGGCCGGCTTCGAAGATATTTGTTGGGCAGCTTGTGCTGGATTGATTTGGTGTCGCCCATCGTCTGCGAGTATGGCTGTGATAGTGGTCTGTGGTGTAGGTCGCGCGTCCTTGGCTTTGCCTCCTGCTTGTGTTGCGGCGGTGGGGGTTTGGCCGGCACTGCTTGCCATAGCTGATTGCCTGCTAGGGGTGCAGGGGTCCTCCTTTGGTGGGCTCTCCGACACCATAGTGGGGTGAGCTGCCGTCTAGTTGGTGCTTGTCGGCGTGGTAGTCGGGTGGTTCGGGTCGGTTGGCTGGTCATTCCTGGCGCTGTTTTGAGTGCCGCCGAGTGTGGGATGATTATCGTGGGTCGTTCCGGGTGCTGTTTGCAATTGGGCCAGACCGTCGCCCACCAGCTTGGTAAGATCATTGGGTATCCTGCTGGGTGCGGTCCGATTCCTCTGCCGGCTCGGTCTGTCTTGGCGACTGTGTCGCGTTTTGTGAGGGGGTCGGCCCCGTCGGCTCGGTCGGCTGGTGTTGGGTTTGGTGGGTGTCAGGTTGGCTTGCCACTATAGGTGGGCTCGCCGTCCGGATGTTTGTGAGGTGATCCTCATGAAACGTTCCAAATGTAGCAAGTTGTCGTGCTGGCTTTTCATGATGTCGCTAATGTAGGCCTCGCATTCAGGGGTGCCTGTGATGTAGTTTCACAGCTCGTCCTTGGTAATCCCCGTGACGTTGCTTTTGATATCGTCTAAGTGTCTCTCCTCGTAAAGGCAGTCGCTGTGGTTGTGTGTTGGCCACCTGTTCGTCTTTGGCAGAGATGTCGACGCGAGCTGCCGCTGATGGCGTCCGATGCTTGAGCGATGGTGGTGGTTGTCTTGAGCCTCGTGGCGCAAGTGGAGGTTCATGACGGTGTTCTCTTGCTCGTTGCAGTAGAACTCGTCTTTGGTCGCGGAGACGCCCCTCCCCACCTCTCCAGCCGCACATGCTCAGGTAATTTCTGGGGTCGTTCCAATGGCTGAGCATGTGCCTCGCTTTGGGTGCTGGGTAGACGATCCAGGGGTGTAGGCATCTGAGCTGATGCCTCTGGTAGAATGGCATGCCTGGGCCCACCTCCAGCTTCTGGAGCCGTGCTACCATCTCGTTGAGGTTCCACCGTCTGTGTTCTGGCGGGTATGCCGGTGGTGGTGGGTACGCGGGCGGCCGGGGTCATCGGTGGGTTGGAGGTTGCGGTGCGGGGTGGATGGTGAGGCGTCTGTTCTGAGGCGTGTTCGGGTTGGCGCCGTGCGTTCGTATAGGTAGGCGTGATCGTTCTCTTCTTGCAATGGAGTTCCCCTCGAGCGTCCATGGTATGATCTCGATGGCCCGTTTGTGCGCTACGAGCCCCATGAGTTCCAGTAGCACCTCGTGGTCTTTGTTGATGTCGTTGTAGTGGTCGTTCCGCTTCGCCGAGGAGGCCTCGTGAGCTGCTTGGCGTAGGTCGTTGTCGAGGTGCGGTATGAGCTTGTTGGCGTCGGCTCTCTGGACTCGTGCGCATCCGTTCTCGATGATGTCCTCAGATTCGATCCAATCCGGTGCCTCTCGTTGTAAGGGCCCTTGCACCGTGGAGACCTCGACTGGGGCGATCCTGGTTGGAGTGACGGTGATGATATCGATGTCTGGTTCGACCTCGGTATCGGCTGGTGGGTGCCACTCAGCAGTGCCAAGAGGTGGCCACTGCGGGTTCGTGTTGGGCGCCTGTCCCAGTCGGAATTCGTATCTTGTGTCGAACCCTCCTGCATGTGTCGAACTCTCCTGTGTTTTCTGACCCTCCTCCTCGCTTCGCTTCGCTTCGCTTCGCTCCGTGGGAACGCCAGTCAGTGCCTGAAGCGCCCCAAACAACACCGCGGGCCGCCACCGCGCGGGCCCGCTCACACCTTGGAGGTGGGTGGAGAACCCCGCCCCGTTCACTGTCACGACTCCCAGAGGGGGAGGCCCCAGCCAGGAAGTCTGAGCGGGGCCCACAGGAGACCTGCGCAACGAGGGCGGGCAAGAGGAGAGGCACGGCAGAGCCGGTCCCCTGGACGAGACTCCCAGGCGAGGGACCCCTGGCCGGGAAGGCCGGGTTGCTCGTCAGGAGACCCGCTCATCCAGGAGAAGGGGCGGAATGCAGTTCCCCCGTGTCCCCGGTGCACCGCCAGGCTCCGAGGCACCCCATTCGGGGGCTCTGACCCTCCTCCTCCTCCTCCTGCTCCTCCTCCTCCTCCTCCTCCTCCTCCTCCTCCTCCCGCCGCCTCATCCCATCGCCGCCCGCCGCGAGTTTTGGCAGCGGCATCCACTACTGCCTGGGCTCTAGCATCGTCAGGCTGGAGGCTCGGGCCTGGGGGGGGAGGGTGCAGCGGCATGGCCGCCTTGTGGGGGGCCTTGTGGCCGGCCGGCCGCGCAGCCCCGTCGGGAGACAGGCGGGGGGACAGCCCCCATGATTGGCGTTCACTGGGCGGCCCTGGGCGTTTATTTGACAGCCCTCTCATGCTCGTTGCCTCCATTGGTCCGACTCCCAAAGTCCGACTCCAGTTTCTGAGCGGCCCGCCCATTCCTGCGCCCCGGCGCCCTCCCGCCGCACCCTCGTAGGTGCCTTGACGCGGGCTCTTGCCTCTTGCCTCTTGCCTCATGCTCGTTGCCTTCATTGGGTGCGTTTGGCAGACGGCTTCGCTTGGGGGAAGGAGGAGGCGACGGGCGGGATGAGGGAGGAAGACACGGGCCATCATATTAAGATGAGGATGGTAATGGTAATGTTGTTGTTGCTGCTGATGATGATGTTGATGATGCTGCTTCTGATGATCATGCTGATGCTGATGACGCGGCAGCTGATGCTGCTGCTGATGGTGATGACGATGATGGCGATGGTGATGATGCTATGATGATGATAACCAGCATCTTCATAGCGTTATCATGATTAGGACGAAACTGCTGGTGGTGATGGGAGTGGTGATGAGGATGATGGTGATGACGCTGAATCCAATGATGATGTTGATGATGGTGATGGTTGTGGTGATGATGCTGCTGATGATGATGATGGTCATGGTGGTGGTGAGGATGACAATGATGATGATGATGATGCTGATGATGCTGCTGATGATGATGATGACGACGATGACGATGGTGATGATGATGGTGATGATTATGATGATGATACTGGTGACGATGCTGATGATGTTGACGACGATGATGAAGATGACGATGTTGAAAATGCTGATAATGGTGATGGTGATGATGCTGATGACGATGATGATGATAATGATGATGAGAAGGCGACTGATGCTGCTGATGATGATGCTGATCCTGACATTGGTTGTGTTGCTGACGATACTGAGAATACGGAAGAGGATAACAACGAGGATGGCGATGGTGGATGATGACGAGGATGATGATGTTGATGATGCTGATTATGATTATGATGATGATGAGGAGGAGGAGAAGGAGGAGGAGGAGGAACAGGAGGAGGATGAAGTGGGAGAGAGATGGCAAACATGAGGGAGGGGGGGGGGCGGATGAGGAGTGCCGCGGGGGGGAGCTGGCGGGAGAGAAGGATCATGTCAATCACGAAGGATGATGGCAACGAGGAGGAACCTGAGAGTGCGCTAGACGGACAAGGATGAGTGATCGAGGAGGCATGGGAAGGCATGTTTGGTACAATCGCTGGAGCTGCCCCAACGCGACAGGAGCATGGCCGAGGAGGACTTGGAGGACGGAGTGGGAAGATATTATGTTTGGTTTGACATTCATGGTCAAGGACCCCACCTAGAAGGGGCAAAGTGAGACCCCTTTGATTGAGAACCCGTCTTACTTGGGTAGAGATTTTGCCAGTGGAAGGGTGATGGGGCAAAGGATCAGGAAAACGATAAGGCAGTTGATCATGGAATGCGATAAAGCCGATTCGGTGTATGGTATTTATTAGGATGGTGGTCCGTGCCAGGCTCGATTCGAGTGAACATGCATGAGGGAGTGGATGCGGCGGAAACTTTGTTTCTATTGGTTCTGACCATCAAGAATGTGGTCACTACGACAGGTCGGGCTCGGTTCCGCCCTCGCGCGTTCTGTTGGCTCGGACCCCGTGCTGCTCCACAAGTACACGCCGGTCGTTGAAAGTAGGTATTTCTAGCTTCCCAGATCCCAATCTACTTCAAGCGCCTTCCTACTTCAAGAGCCGATACGTTTTCTACGTGGTTTGTTATTCTCTAGGAGGTCCTGAGCCCAATCTACTTGATCTGCCTTCCGACTTCATGTTTTGACGTACTTCTTCCGACCGACGTGTAGGCCCGTTCAAGGTGCACGCGTCCTGGTGCCTCGCATCCGTGCTTTGGATCCCGCCGCGCGTCGGCGACAGCCGCGTGCCTGCGCGCTGGGCACCCTGCCGTCCGATTTTGCCGATGCGGAGGCCTCGGCTCGGCGACAGAGGGAGCAGATGCTGGGGGTTAAGCCGGGGGTGGAGGGTGTCTCCGAAGGGCTTGGGCGGCCCGTCCTCCTCCTCTCTCCTCCCTCTCCTCCTGCTCCTCCTCCTCCTCGTCCCCCTCCTCCTCCTCCTGTCATTATCCTCCCCCTCCCCCTCCTCGCCCTCCCCTCCTCCTCCTCCTCCTCCTCCTCCTCCGCCTACGGCCCCAGGGGAAACCGTCCAGCGGAGGGGGAGAAGAACGGCACATGGACGGGGAGATGACTGGATACCCACTTCGAGGGCTTGCGATTTTGGTCTGTCCAGCGATTGTCCCCAGCAGTTCTCCAACAGATCCTGGCGCCTCAGAACACCAAAAAACATAACAAAGCATTCAAACACGAGTGAAGTGCGGGGTGAGGTGGTGCTGTGCGCAAGGGGAGAGGACGGGCGGGAGCGAAAGGGGGAGAGGGAGGGAGGCAGTGGTGGACGGAGGGCACGACATACCCGACCCACCCATATGGTCGGGGAGGGGCGCAGTGCCCCTGAACTGTTTCAGCGTGGTCTGAGGTCTTCCTTGGGCCTTTCCATTGAAGTCGAAGCTTAACCCATGGAGGAGCACAAATTGCTGAAGGTTCCTCATGAAAGCGTTCTGGCTGCATGGTCAGGAACGTTTGCTCGGCGAGTTGCGCCCTGGGCGTTTGCCCGCCAGGCTTCGGCGAGACGTGCCGAGCATCGGCGTCTCCCCAACATATTTATACGGTGTGTTCGTCGCCCCCCAGGGGCGACGCGCGCACCGAGAAATCTTATAATATATGCGTCGTGGCGGGCGCTTTCTGGCCACACCTATCGAGAAACGATATACTACAAGATGGGCATACTATATGTTCGGGTCGGACGCGCGCCTCCAAGGCGGACATATAGTATTAGTATGTCTCTGTGCGTCCCAGAGCATGCCCCAGTCCCCGAGTGGCAGCGTTCCGAGTTGGAGATCCAGCGGGCCGACTGCGCGCGGGTCTGCCTCCACGTGCCGGGCGGCGAGGAGGGGTCAGGGCTGCCGCCGCGCGGGTTGCTGCGCTGTCGCCAGGGACGCAGAGGCGGACAAGCAGGCGCGCGCCCAGGCGGATGGCGCCGCTGGCTCTGGAGACGGGCGGCCGTCACGGCCCAGGTGCCTTGCGCCACCTGCGGCGCCTCGCGCGCGACTAGGCGCAGCTGCTGGCCGGGGGCGGCGCCGCCGCGGCCGCAGCCGCGGCCAGCGCCTTCGCGCTGCGCTGGGGCGCGGGGCTGGCGTTCGCCCTGCAATCGGCCACGGCGCGCCAGCGGCGGACCGCGCGGGGCGTTGACCGCTTACCGGGAGGGCCGCGCTGCGCGCGGCCGGGCGGCCGGGGCGGCCTAGTTGCGGGGCGCTCGCGGGCGGCTAACGAGCCGTCGCGGTCGCTTTCGAGCTCAGAGTGCGGGGGGGCGCGCGCGGGGCGGGCGTCGGCGATGCACCAGCCGCGGCGTTCGCAGGAGGAGGAGGAGGAAGAAGAGGAGGAAGAGGAGGAGGAGGAGGCTGGGCAGATGGAGCACGATGCTGTTGTTGTAGGTAATGATGCTGGTGCTTTGATGGTGATGATGACGATGCTGATCGAAATGCAGATGCTGATGATGATGCTGATTATGATGGTGATTGCGGTGGTGATGATGTTGATGATGATGGCGAATACGATGAGGGGATACGAGCAAGATTGCGCATGACTGGAGACGAGACGTGAGCAGGGATCTGAAGGGGGGGTGGGGTATGGAGCAGGAAGGAGAAGGATACGTAGGGGAAACGAGGGGTTCCAAACCCGCACTTGCCATCGCGGGCTTGGAACTCCAAAGGGAAAACAATCTCGTTATGCCCAAGTCTACAAACAGTGAGCTGCGTACGTTGGACGAGGAGGTGGCGGATGAGCAAGGGGATGAGCAGGAGGAGAAGGCGATGAATAATGAGGGAGGAGGACGAATACGAGCAGCAGCGGCTGCAGGAATTGGATTTGGATGGAGCGGGATAAGCTGGAGGACCAAAGGAAGGCCGAGGAACGGAACTGGAATTGCGGGGGGGGGGGGCGCGATATCGATGAAAGAGGACTCGGTTTCAGAAGCGTGCCCCGCGCTGGGGCGAGAGCGCCATTCTGAACGACATGAACAAATTGAGGCCTACGTTGCAGCGGGAACGCCATGTTGAAACACCGAAAGCAGCGAGATGTGAACACAACGTAACACACGTCCATGTTGAGATTTGTGGTAACGCGCAACACGCGTTAACGAGCCGATTCTCCTGCAGGCACGGTCGGGGGTGATAACATAAGCACGCGGGGTATAATTGTGGGAGAAGGGGGGGAGGAGTTGGAGGAGTGGGTGGGGGGGCGGGATGGGGAGGGGGGGGATGAATGACGAGGTAATAGAGGAACATGAAGAGGACGTGGCGGACGAGGAGGACGAGGAGGACGGATAGAGACAGTGTGTGGTGTCAGCAGGGGTTTCAGGGCGACTGGGGTGTAACAGTAGCATTAGTCGTAGTAGTCGTCGTGCAAGGCACTCGTCGTACGATGACGGGAAGGCAAAGGGGAAATGGAGGCGGATGAGGAAATGGAAATGCTGAAAAGGACTAGGGAGGCTGAGGGGACAGGGGGGCGATGAGTCCCCCATCCATGGGTAGTGTACATCCGAAGAAAAGCGCGACAGGGCATGCTTGGTCCGATGTTCCCTTCATCTCTTCCAAGAAGTGCGCCCCGGGGGGAGATGAAGCTGGCCCTCCAGTGCCTGCTGCGAAACTACAAAGATGTGCAGGTGTGCGCTGGTTGCGGGATGTGCGTTATGCTTGTCTTTCTGCCTGTCTGTCTTTTTGTGTGTTTGTCGTTATGTTTGTGTCTGTCTACCTGCTTGTCTGTATTTTCTGATTGTCTGCCAGCCTGTCTTTCTGTCTGAATGTCTGACTATATCGTTAGTGTTCTGCTCATGTCGAGATGGGAAAGGGACGCAATGAGGATATAATGAGGAGTACTGGGGATGCGGCCTCTTTTTTGTTTCCTCTCCCTCTCTCTCTCTTTTGTTCTCTCTCTTTCTCTCTTTCTCTCTCTCTCTCTCGCTCTCTTTCCCCCTCTCTCTATGTACATTTCTCTGTTCAGTATACTCTGAACTAGCTTGGTTTTGAGATCCGAGCGGCTATTGGGCACTGGAGGGGAAGGAGGGATGGAGGGAGGAGGACGGAGGGAAGATGAGGACGAACATGAGGATGAGGGGCGGGGCAGGAGGATGGAGGAGCAGGTGGAGGGAGGGGGAGGGAGGGAGGAGGTGCAGTAGGACGTATGAGGGAGGCGGGAGGGTGTATAGGACGGCCCAGGGGTCGCGCTACTCGAGTTTGACAAGGATGAGGGAAGGATGAAGGATTAGGTGGCGAAGCAGTAGGAGCAGAGTGGGTACGATGAGCGGGAGGAATATAATGGCGAGGGGAAGTCATAGGAGGGGAAAGGAGGGGGCGACAATGACGATGAAGGATACGGATAAAGAAGTGTGGCCCGCAATGGTGTCATGGCGCCATTCTGAGTTACGGGAGTAACGCGCCGATTCCTACACCTGGCCCTCGCTGCGATTTGGAGCACCGATGGTTGAAATGCTGGGAGGGTTCTGATAGAAACGCCACATGAGCGACGTAAAACAACGGAGTCGGTTTCACGGACACTGGCGCGGAAGTTGCCCGCGTAAGGTCGCGCGGAAGCGCCTTCGTGTCCGTTGTGGCGTGCCGCGTTGGCTTCCCGCGTAAACCGCGGCGCAATTTCGCTATGGCATCGCATGTAAGACCCTTCTCTTGTCGTCGCTCACGGGCACGCGTCCACGCGCCTTCCGGCGCGTCGGCGGGACATGTTTGAGTTCCAGCGTATGCTTGCGTGCTGCTTGGCGCAGCGATGAGCCATGGGTTGATTGGGTGCAGAGGGAGGGCACCATGCAAGGCCCGGCGTCTTGCACGCGGCTACTCTGTGAAGGAGTGGGCCCTCGAAAACTTCAAGAGAAAATGGCGATGGGCAGCCGAAGTGGCGAGAAAAGAATATAATTGAGAATGGGTTTGGAAAGTGATATACCGGCGTGATTCAGAACGGCAGACTGCAGTCAGTGAGCTCGGCCCACTGCGTCTGCGGAGGCCATCGTGTCGCAGATGGATGCGGTTCGAGGGCAATATCAAGTGATTCCGTGCTGAGCCAGATCTGGGCGTGTGGGAAAGCGATGGCCGGGACGAGTTCGCGAGCTGGGCGTGAGAGGCCAAGTTCGACAATTGACACTTCATTGCAGGTCCTGCCCCGCGCGGTCCACCCTGGTAGGATTTGTGGAGTCCAAACCCCAGATAGCGCAGCGCCAGAAAGGCCGTCAACCAGTCTTTGGAAAGAGCTCTGGAAGCTCTTGGAAGGAGCTTCCTAAGGAGCTTCCAGAGAGCTTCCGGGCACACGTATAGGGAAACGTTTAGAAAAAGGTGTCTCGGGACAAGATCAAATCTCAAGCAGCCGCTGCCAAGGTGTGTTTTACAAGTTCCGGGGCTACTTTGCCGGCTTCTAATATGAAGTTTTCTCAACTCTTAGAGAGCTATCCGGGAGCATTACTCTCCGCTCTCTCCCTCCTCTTCCTCCTCCTCCTCCCCCTCCTCCCCCCCCCCCTCCTCCTCTTGTGGCCCCCACCCCGGAGGCATGGCCAAGGCAGCGTGGGCGGCTCTCGCCTCGAGGGAGGC